GCAAATTCAGCAAATAACAGTTTTTTGAGGAAGCAGAGATCGGCAGCTGACAGAAATCAAGAGCAAGGTGCAGGAGAAGTAATCCACTGGTAGCGCGGTGACTGCAATGGGCACGAACAATCCAGGACAGGAACAAAGAGGTAATCCAACCGTAAACAACAGCGTACAGTCCAGAGCAGGAGCGAGGAACAAGGTTAAAGGGAGAGAGCACATCCAGGACAAGACTCCACACAACAACACCAACAATCTGACAACACAGGGTAAGAAGCAAGGCCATTAAATAGTGGAGCTGATAAGCCACAGCTGCCACTGATAAGCTCATCAGCAGAGGCACACACACACACTGAGGGAGAGAGAGAGCTAGCAAACCATGACATATACTCAGAGTCAGTTACCCTGGTAATTTACTGTGAACCTAACCTGGAAGGGAGCAGGTTTTCTTCATTAAATCGAGAGTTTCTTGTGGTCTCCTTCCCCTTTTTAAAGTGTAAGCAATGTTTAAATGCCTCATTCATTCATCCACGCTGCAAAAATGCTTTTCTTGCTGAGTATTTTGGAATCTAAATTAAGTGCATTTTACTTAAAACAAGAAAAATTATGAATGCAAATGGAAACAAGATTATTTTTCTTACCCCATTGGCAGATAATTTGCCAAATAAGAAAAATACACTTAAAAGACTAAATATCTTATGTAATTTTTCTAATGTTGAAAATGCATCTTGATTTAAGAATCTTTAAATATTTTGACTGGAAGCAACAAGACAAAAATACTAAGTAAGAAAAGCATTTTTGCAGTGCAGGTACATTCATTCATTGCACATATTTCCATCAGGCAGACACTCTGAAAGTGACAAAAACGGCATATTCCTCTTATACTGGATCCTATAGAAGAGGAGGCTACATTAATTCGCAGAGAGTTACATTTACATCGGGAGAGGATTATTTAGATTTTTTTGCCATATCCACATGCATATTTATTTGAGCCGTGTCTCGCTCTCACACTCTTTATGAGAATTTTTGTGTAGTTTTCTGAGCACAAACCCATCAAAAAATGAAGCTGATTACTGTATGGAATGGAAGGATGCCAGATGGAAGGGGTTGGAGAGACTTTTGACTTTCAGGATCTGATTCAGACTGGGATGAGTGAACCCCCTGGGTGCCGGTTAGAGCACAATAAGTATATAAGGATGAGGACACCGGTGATCAGGTTTATGGAATGTATTGATAGAAGATTATCAATGACAGGCAGTAGAGGCATTATTCTGTAGGTCAATGACTAACACCTCAAAGTAACTTCTGCAGGAAATATCAGAAATAAACAGGAATTAACGTCCATTCAGCGTTCAACAACAGCAGCGGCTCAACTCACGAGACTACTCAGCCGGATGATGACATACAATATCAGAATAAAAGCTCTCTCTTAAAGGAGCCTTTACAACAGAAGGGTAGTTCGAGATATATGCCATAACAACCACCACAACTGTTATATTTATTTGGTCATCTTTATTTCCTACAAATACAAAAGCAACAGTTTTTTCCCCTATTTTTTTTTTCTATTTTAATATTCATCCAATACTTGGTATTGTGGCCAACTCCTCTTCATCTGTTCTTCATTGTTTTGCAAGCCTTCTTGTTGTTGGCTGAGTAGAAGTCAAATGTTAATTTCATTACTCTTATTAAGAAATGCAACAGTTTGGATTAGAGAACATTTAATTATGTGAAAAGAGCATTAGACGATGTGGAAAAGCTACTGCACATTGAAACAGAAAATATTTTGACTGGAAGCAACAAGACAAAAATACTAAGTAAGAAAAGCATTTTTGCAGTGCAGGTACATTCATTCATTGCACATATTTCCATCAGGCAGACACTCTGAAAGTGACAAAAACGGCATATTCCTCTTATACTGGATCCTATAGAAGAGGAGGCTACATTAATTCGCAGAGAGTTACATTTACATCGGGAGAGGATTATTTAGATTTTTTTGCCATATCCACATGCATATTTATTTGAGCCGTGTCTCGCTCTCACACTCTTTATGAGAATTTTTGTGTAGTTTTCTGAGCACAAACCCATCAAAAAATGAAGCTGATTACTGTATGGAATGGAAGGATGCCAGATGGAAGGTGTTGGAGAGACTTTTGACTTTCAGGATCTGATTCAGACTGGGATGAGTGAACCCCCTGGGTGCCGGTTAGAGCACAATAATTATATAAGGATGAGGACACCGGTGATCAGGTTTAGGGAATGTATTGATAGGAGATTATCAATGACAGGCAGTAGAGGCATTATTCTGTAGGTCAATGACTAACACCTCAAAGTAACTTCTGCAGGAAATATCAGAAATAAACAGGAATTAACGTCCATTCAGCGTTCAACAACAGCAGCGGCTCAACTCACGAGACTACTCAGCCGGATGATGACATACAATATCAGAATAAAAGCTCTCTCTTAAAGGAGCCTTTACAACAGAAGGGTAGTTCGAGATATATGCCATAACAACCACCACAACTGTTATATTTATTTGGTCATCTTTATTTCCTACAAATACAAAAGCAACAGTTTTTTCCCCTATTTTTTTTTTCTATTTTAATATTCATCCAATACTTGGTATTGTGGCCAACTCCTCTTCATCTGTTCTTCATTGTTTTGCAAGCCTTCTTGTTGTTGGCTGAGTAGAAGTCAAATGTTAATTTCATTACTCTTATTAAGAAATGCAACAGTTTGGATTAGAGAACATTTAATTATGTGAAAAGAGCATTAGACGATGTGGAAAAGCTACTGCACATTGAAACAGACACTGAATGATATTTATTTAATATGTCAAATGTTTGTAAAGTCATATAACCTACACCCATGAACCTTTTTAAAGCTTTACCTGATTGAATTAAGTTTTTATACTTCATGTTTAGCTGCTTATTTGTGCTTTTTTATTTTTTCTTTTGCCTGTGGGATACCGTGAAAATTTATATTAGTTCAATAATTTACAGTTGTGCCAGTTTTTTTCCTTTGATATTATAACAGTGATTAAGAATTGAAGTTACATATTGACTTGGAAGTATGCGGATGTCTTTTTGTCAGGTGCTGTTGCCATGGTGAATCATAATTTCAGAGCTCCATTGATCATGGCTTTTCATAGTCGTGGTGCACGCGCTAAACTCAAAGTCAACCTTCTCAGAGTTGATTGATTTAACTCAATTCAGCTGTTCTGAACCCGAAAACTCAGTTTCCCATCTCAGGGTAAGTCAACTCAGAGTTCAAGTTTCAACTCAGAGTTGGTTGAACCTCCTTAACACTACTCGGGGAAAAACAACTAAATCATCAGCATTATGTTCTTGTCTCCAGCTGCTCTCTGATTGGCTGGTGACGGGTGGCCCCGCCCCCACAGGAGTCTGAGAGCATCAACAGAGCTGCTGATTCTCACACATGATCAGTGACTCTGAGAGGAATAACATGAGAAATATCTGGAGGAGGAATAAAGCAGCACTGAGGAATATTCAAGTTTGATTTTATCCGTCATGAGCTCATAAAACATTTAAACAGTAGGAATCATGGAAAGACTCTCAGCTCTGCTGCTGCTGCTGCTGCTCATCACAGTCTCAGGTGAGTCTCAGCTTTTACTCTTTCTCTCCTCAGAACTCCTTCATCTGTCAGCAGCCATGCTTTGTTTGTTTGTTTGTTTGTTTGTTTGATTTTGGTTTATTGATGTTCTGGGAAATGATCAGTATAATAGATCAGAACTAATAACACTGTTCGTTGATTCAGTCTCTGATAATGTGAATATTGCTGCTCATATGCAAATGAGTCTTGTGTTATTAGCAGAGCCATTCATTAAGTCTTTAATGAGTTCAATTAGCAGTCATTAGTTCATCTGATCTGAGTGTCGAATCATTTACTTCATTCTTCACTGAGGAGAGAAATTTATATTGATTTGATGTTAGATTGATAATTTCTCGTTAACTTTATACTTGTATATTAGTGCTGCAGCTAACAATGATTTTGATAAATAATCTGTTGATTAGTTGTTTAATTAATCAGATTAAAAGCATTTTATTTAATTGAGTCAGCGTATATGTGTGTGTGTGTATATATATAATTCATTTATTTATATTATAAATAATATAAAATAATATAAAATGTTTGATACACAAATGTTTTGATGAAAGAGCATATACAAAAGTAATCAATAATGATTTCATTGTTGACTATTTTCCTTTATTGATTTTCATTGATTAGTTGTTGCAGCACTGATTTATGTATAATTTCTTTATTATTTCAATAATAAAATATAAACATTGTCTTTGAATGCAGAATGATTCTCTATTGGCTGAATGATTCAGAGTCGCTGCAGGAGCTTCTGCTGAAGTTCATGTTCATGAGAGTGAGACAGACAGACCTGAGACAGACATTGACCCTGACCTTTGACCTGACCCTCATTTTCATATGACTGGGCCTTTAGGGTCGGGGTCAGACTGGGTGGGGGTTTGATTGAGATCTCATTATAAGGGCCTGTAATTCTGCGTGGCAGCGGTGCTGTTGCCATGGTGAATCATAATTTCAGAGCTCCATTGATCATGGCTTTTCATAGTCGTGGTGCACGCGCTAAACTCAAAGTCAACCTTCTCAGAGTTGATTGATTTAACTCAATTCAGCTGTTCTGAACCCGAAAACTCAGTTTCCCATCTCAGGGTAAGTCAACTCAGAGTTCAAGTTTCAACTCAGAGTTGGTTGAACCTCCTTAACACTACTCGGGGAAAAACAACTAAATCATCAGCATTATGTTCTTGTCTCCAGCTGCTCTCTGATTGGCTGGTGACGGGTGGCCCCGCCCCCACAGGAGTCTGAGAGCATCAACAGAGCTGCTGATTCTCACACATGATCAGTGACTCTGAGAGGAATAACATGAGAAATATCTGGAGGAGGAATAAAGCAGCACTGAGGAATATTCAAGTTTGATTTTATCCGTCATGAGCTCATAAAACATTTAAACAGTAGGAATCATGGAAAGACTCTCAGCTCTGCTGCTGCTGCTGCTGCTCATCACAGTCTCAGGTGAGTCTCAGCTTTTACTCTTTCTCTCCTCAGAACTGCTTCATCTCTGTCAGCAGCGATGCTTTGCTTGTTTGTTTGTTTGATTTTGGTTTATTGATGTTCTGGGAAATGATCAGTATAATAGATCAGAACTAATAACACTGTTCGTTGATTCAGTCTCTGATAATGTGAATATTGCTGCTCATATGCAAATGAGTCTTGTGTTATTAGCAGAGCCATTCATTAAGTCTTTAATGAGTTCAATTAGCAGTCATTAGTTCATCTGATCTGAGTGTCGAATCATTTACTTCATTCTTCACTGAGGAGAGAAATTTATATTGATTTGATGTTAGATTGATAATTTCTCGTTAACTTTATACTTGTATATTAGTGCTGCAGCTAACAATGATTTTGATAAATAATCTGTTGATTAGTTGTTTAATTAATCAGATTAAAAGCATTTTATTTAATTGAGTCAGCGTATATGTGTGTGTGTGTATATATATAATTCATTTATTTATATTATAAATAATATAAAATAATATAAAATGTTTGATACACAAATGTTTTGATGAAAGAGCATATACAAAAGTAATCAATAATGATTTCATTGTTGACTATTTTCCTTTATTGATTTTCATTGATTAGTTGTTGCAGCACTGATTTATGTATAATTTCTTTATTATTTCAATAATAAAATATTTAGCACCAGAGTCTATTCAGCACTGTGGGAACCAGATCAGTGTCATGAATATGATAATTTGTTAGTGGAGACACACACTCTCACTCTCTCTTGCTCTCTCTCTCACTCACTCACACACACACGCATGCACACATAAGCATATATAATATGAAATGTTCAGATTATAGAATATTACACACACAGACTCCAGCAGTACTAATAGTTCTGATGTCTCACTCTGATGGTCTCATTAATGAGTGTCAATTGAGACAGACGAGCCGCTGTAAGTCTCATTAGATGCTCGATTCTCCTGCTGAGAGTCTGAAAGCGTGAAGAATCAGGACAGACTCTGAGTTCAGACGGCTCTATCAGACTATACACACATTCACTCCATCCTCATCCTGACAGGAGAGAATAATAGAGCAGTGATCAAACTCTCAAGTCTGGTGTGAATATCTGTTAAACTGTAATTTATTTCTGTGATGCGCAGCTGTATTTTCAGCATCATTACTCCAGTCTTCAGTGTCACATGATCTTCAGAAATCATTCTAATATGCTGATTTGCTGCTCGAGAAACATTTCTGATTATTATCAATGTTGAAAACAGTTGTGCTGCCCGATATTTTTGTGAAAACCGTGATACATTTTATTTTTCAGGATTCACAGATGAACAGAAAGCTCAAAAGAACAGCATTTATTTGAAATAGAAATCATATGTAACATTATAAATGTCTTTACTCTCACTTTTGATCAATTTAATTCGTCCGCGATGAATAAAAGTATTAATTAATTCTTAGCCCAAACTTTTGAATGGTCGTGCATGAAGCAGCATATTTCTGTGAAAATATTCACAAAAGATATTTATGAAATCTGATACAGTAAATGCAACTATAAGGCATGAAGTTATTAAGATAATATAAACATTAACATCAGTATTTTCTGTGAAACAACGTGAACAGCGCTATCCAAATAAATTTCACTTGATTCGGTACCATTAATACCATATTCATTTATTATGATATTTGCATGGTACTACCAATATTATATATCGGTAATACCAGTATTATCAATTTTACATATTCAAAAAGCATAAAAAGTGTCCAAAAGCAATGGTAAAACCATGGTATTTTTGTTGATGGTGTGTTCTAGTGACCAGTGTTATTGGATTGAGAGGATCACTAATAGATTCAGCACATTTGACTGCAGTCTGCGACGCCGTACGTGTTTCCCTCATAAAGAAGTGCGGTTCTGTCCTCGGGTCACACAGACGAATATTTGACATTCAGATTTGTCCCGTCTGAGCAGCAGATGCCATTAATGGAGTGTTTGACGTGTTTATTGGCCGCTGAAGTTCACGGCCACTCCAGAGACAATGAAGAAAGCGGGAGGAGGAGCGGCTGATTCTCTCATGACCTTTAGGATCTGAGGTCACGGTGTGCCGGTGGGGGCGGGGCTGCTCTCTGAACCCCGCGGGGGGGCCGGCCCGTTTATCCAGAGTTTACGGCTGAAGATGGGCTGCTATTGTGAGGAGGAGAAAACAGCTGCAGCTTCAGACGCTGCAGTCCGCCTCATTTGACTAAGAGACACAAACACTAAAGCATTCAAAGGGACAAATGCTCTGGAGTTTGAGCTCATGTAGGAACATTTCTAGCAAACATCTTTTTCTCACACTAAACCAGTTCTAGACCTGACTTTAGTACACTTACTGCACACTTTATAGTGTTCAACAGTAGTGTGCTGGATTGATGTCGTATCTAAGACTGTTCATGATTTAATTGAATTTTGTATTAAGATGTCTTACTTTAAATCTGGCACACTGATAGAGGACAGTCTTAACATTAACCACAGCAAGTTTGGAGTCTCTAACTCCAACTCTCTAGCGCCACCACTTGTCCAAAGTTGCAATTTCTTTATGCTAATAACTTTTGAACCGTAAGGCACAAATGGAAAATTATTTTTTCCTGTGAATCCTTGGCTCATGCCGAGTCTAATGAACACCAAAATTCAAAAATCGCAAGGTTTAGTTTTTTCGCTATTTTTAATTGTTCATAAAACCTACTTTTTCAAACTCGTCCTAGACGGTTTGTCTGATTCTCACCAAAATTGGCTCAGATCATCTTCAGACCATGCTGGCAAAAAGTTATGGAATTCAAGTTGATTTGTTCAACCGTTCTCGAATAACGCACGAAGGAATTCTACGAAAAGCACGTAAAAATGGATGTGAGGCTAT